AATGGCTTTTCATAACTGTACACTATAATATAATATTAAATTAGTAAGTTCACCATGCTACTGGATGGAAATTTTAAAATATTTATAAAAATTTTTAAAATTAATAAGATAAAATGAAATCGTAATAGTGAGGTATACCTGAATATATGAACAAATATTCAAAATCGGTTGCTTGTATTTTTATATGTTTCATGTAACATAAAAATATATTATTAGAAATATAATAATATAGTTTGGGAGGATATGAAAATTTGTTCACTTACATTTTCTTATTTTACATTTGTGTTATATATTTATTTAGAAGACAGAGTTTTAAATACTTTTCTGTTACTGGAACACAGAAGAAGAAAGCTTTCAACTACTTATCGATCTCTTAAATAATTAAATTATTTATTTAAAATTTAACATATTCGAAAAAATTTCTCATCTTTGAAAAATAACATGGGCTCTTAAGATTAGAAATAAAAAATTTCCAAATATTATTAATTATATCTTTGAGACTAGTTTTGCCAATACAAAAATAATAACTTTTACCTAATACCTTTAATTACTTCGAAAAGTTATCGAGTAATCTTTGTACCAATTATAAAATATCGTATTACATGCGATCTCTGACGGCAAATTAAGATCGGTCACTGCTGAAGTGATTCCGTTCGCAGAAAAAGAATCTCTAAAAGATAGTATCCGCACATTGACGTTCGAAAAAAAATCAAAATTTGTTTTCTATGAAACAATTTGCACATCAGAGTGGCTTAGAAATCGAGATTATCTTATTCTTCTGATCATTACCTGACAAATATACCTAAATTTTATTCACCGGCTCTGAAAACAGTGTTTTAATAAAAGCGCGCTAAAAGTTTTGGGAACAGATCTCCGAAATTATTTACCAGATCGACTTCAAAATTACGGAGAATTTTTTCAAACCCATGTACATTCGTTATATATACAAACAAAAAAAATAAATTTTTTTTTGTAATTCATAGGTGGATATGACCCCTTAATTGACTTAATGCCAACAATTATAACAGCGAACTGTTACCAACAGCAGCATTCTATTTCATAGCAGAGAATGTTGATAAATAACATTTGGCCAGAGAATGTTAATGAATAACACTGATTTAACATTCACTGCTTTAACATTCTCTGGCTTAACCAGAGCAGAGAATGTTACCATTTAATGTTAACAAGCTGTATTCGGAAAATATTAAAATATGTTCTGCTGTTGCTGCAACCTGTGAGCATTTAACATAACAGCAAAGTGTTAACTTACAGGTAACAGTTCCAACTTATACACTCGCAACAATGATTTCCATTTTCGTCATTAATTTACAGCATGAACACCGGCTGTGCACCTGTTGATCCAAAACGAATCAAACAGTCGGCAAGTCAACACTCGAACAAGTTGGACAACCAGCCAACCAGCCAACTTTCCAACTAGCAATCAAACCGGCGAACACCAAACCCAACAAACATCGCAAGAGGCAATCTAACTTCTCATTCTCTCTTCACCTGATCACAGCGCTGCATCGAACATTCACAAAACCAGTTCCACATCTATGCAAGTTGCCATTATTCTAATGCCATTGCATTCCGCAGGCTTTTCAGGTGTTCCAGGTGTGCCAGTTCGGTCTGCACTTGTCTCTCGGTGTCGACGCGATTCAGTGTTGAACGAACTTTTGCTGCGTCCAGTCAATGTGAATCGCGAGTGTTACCTTTCGTCCATCCGCCGTGTATTAAACTAAAAACAAATACAAACACACAAAGTAAAGTCAACATTTGTAGCGGTTGTCGTGTTTATCCGGAGCCTACGTTACTCGCTTGGGCTTAGTGTTGTTTGTGTGTTGGCTTGCCTGCCTGTTCGCTTGGGACAGGTCTACAGCAGTGAAGTGGAAACAAGTTTTACGTCCCAACTTCAACGCGTCCGCCTAGTTGGTAGGCGTTTGTGCGCCATCGCTCCCCTCTTTCCGAGCCCAGCATCGGTCCACACGGCACGTCACCCCAACTAAAGACGTTTTTGTCGTTTTTGTGTTTGTTGTTCGTGCTCTGCGCTCGGTGTGTGTAATTCACTCGTTCATAGTTCTCTCCCTCGCTGCTCCAAATTCGCCTGTGCATTCGCGTTCGTACAGTTAATTTGCATCGTTTGTGTTGTGGCATTTGTTGTTGCCGTTACTGCTGCTGCTAACTTGCAGTCTTAGCCTTTGCGGTAGAGCTACTGTTGCTGTTGTTGTTGCTGCTGTTACTGCTGAGTATTGTATTTTGTGCAACAGGTGAATTCAATTGAAAGGAAATGAGTCGTATTGTTTTAGTTGTTTTTGGTTTAGGTTGGCGGGCCGTAAAATATGTTTATTCTTAAGTAAATTAATGTGTGCTGTGCTTGTGTGGGTGTGCGTGTTTTATTGTTGCGAAAAGTGATGGGATTAAAGCACTTGGTAATCTGAGTAGTGTTTTGAAATAATTGTCCACTTGCTCGTGACAAATTTCTTTTGCGAACAAAAGTGAAAAGGGTTAAAAATAATTGTGCGCGACAACAAAAAGTGATGACAAGAACAAAATATAACACATAAAAAAACAAAAATAGAAAATATATAATATGAATATGCAAAAAGTGTCATTTGCTGCGAAAGTTTGGCACACACCATACTGAGGTTTTTAATGTTTGAGGATTGTAGAAACAAAATGCATATTTTAAGAATAAAACGGAAAACGACAGCGAAAATGAAAATTGGTTTTAAACAATAAGCATAAATTAAGAATAAAAAAGTGATTTTAAAATATTGAAATTCATGGAAAGAAATAAAATTAATTTTTTTTACTTTATTTCTAAAGAAATCACCGTAAAATTTATTCTATGAAAAACAAATCTAAATAAATTTAAGTGCTAACTTATCTTAATGAATATTCTACTCATTCACGTTCATTTGTTAACTGTTTATTGTTATTGTTTAAAACGTGTGTTTACTATCGCAAGAATCCATTACCGATACAGCAATACTCCAAATTGAGTATTATTTACAAAATGTTGTTTTTCAAACGTGTAAAAATATATGCCTTTCAAAAAAGCGATAAATAACAAAAAGCTTTCTTAATATAAAAAAATTTAGTTACAAAAATATTACAATCATTACAGAAACAATTATTACTATTATTATTAGACACGTTAAAACCACACTACCTGCATGTGCAATTATTAGGAATGATTCTTAAAATGATACTGAATGAGAGGGTCTCAAACTATATATAATTAAAAAAGTGCATTCATGGTTGAAGTAAATTGAAAACCACTAGTTTAATGTGAAAGTAAAAGAAAATTTTTTTTTTATATATTAAAAAACCTGACATTTACAAAATTTTAAATTTGCAGTATTTAAAGTTCATAAAAATTAAAATAATATTTTATTAAATATTAAATAGAAATTTTAACTTTAAACATTTAACATTAAAAAATTTTTCTTTTCTTAGAGCGCAAAGTAAATCGCAAATATATTAATGATTTGATTAAAATTTACGAAAGTTAGTGTTTGAAAAAATTTTGGTGGTTCTCAAAGAGATGTTTAAAATTCTTTCAATGAAGCTCTCAAAATATATTCCTTAACTACTATAATGTAATATATTTAAATTATAATTAATAAAACAACTAAAAAACCGTATTAAAATTTAAAAAACATTAATTATCGGAATGTAAACTGTGCACAACTGTTAAATGCATATAAATGTATTTTTACATATGCATTCCAGTTCAAAATCAAAAATAAAATATTTTCGCCTTAAAAACTTAAGTGTTTGTTTCTTCTACTCCTAAAGTAAGTTTTAAATATAAATCATTAAATAGACAATAGAATATTTTGATAGAAATTTCAATTAAATTTTCTTACAAATTAAAAAAGGTAGAGTTTTAGGAGCCGAAAACTTATTTTTTATAATAACTTAGATTATATAATAAGCTATTGGATGAAAATTAATGTATATAAATCTTGAATGTTTTTGAAATTTTTTTTTTTTGACGTAAGCCAATATACTTAAATTTATGTGTGCCTGTGCGATATCGAGCATTTTAATTATTTTAATTATGTTTCTTCGATTCAAAAAATTTAGAAATTAAACACCGATTATAATCAGATTTAAAATAATTTAAGTTAACTAACACAACTGATTTCATCATATATCATTAATTAGAGAAATATTTCTCAAGCTATAGAAACTGTAGATGCTAAAATAAAACTTTAATTTCTTTCTAAAATCCATAAATCACGGTATGAGACAATTAATAAGCAAATATTAATATTTCTAGCAATAAAATATATTATAAATAAAAATATGATTTTTCAAAACACTGTTGGGAGAAAGAACTGAAGGCTGAGAAATAAATCCATTTTGACTTATACAAGCTCTATATATACGACCCTTAGCAGTTTGTTAAGTTCTAATTGCAAACAAATGGTTTGAACTTCTTAAATTGTTGGTAAATATTTTACCGAAAACTTACTTCTAAAAATGTATACATAATATATCAAATATACAACTCTTTAAGCAAAGGATAAAAATATTTATTTCACTACAAAAATGTATCGGTTAACTTTATTTGTTTTTACTTGTAACATTTTAACGATAATAAACAATTACTTGTATGCTGATTGACAATATTTATTTTGCTTTTAAGTGTACTTTCCGTATGCTGATGTTACGCTCTGCAATGACCCACTTTACTAAACTGCAACAAATCACAAATCACAAATTTCTTTCTCTCAACGAGAATAAACCAAATAAATCGCGCATTTATCAATAGAAACTGAAAAGAAAATCGTTGTATTACGCTAAAGAAGTGACTGCTACCAGAGTCATAGTGCTTCAAGGCCTAGCAAGAAAACAATAAATAACTAAAATCATACAGAATAGCAAATACAAGCTATAATAGTAAACAAGGCAAAAACAAAAAAAAAACCAAAAAAAAACTGCAACACGTCTACGCAACGCCAAAGCTACACGCGTGCTTCAGACAATTTGCACGAGCCAACAGTCAACTAAACGCTGCACGCTAATGACATTTACATCATGGCGGTCAAGACACTGCCATGGCCATCGGTCGCTGCTTGTCGTCGTTCCGTTTACTTTCCAACTGGATATGCGCTTGTGTGGCAGGCAACGCATCATGTTTGCCATTGAAAGTGTGCATGCGTGCTTTCTAACGGTACATGCGTGCATTTGCCATTGTGGCAATGCGAAAACAAACCGGAGAAAATAAAAAAGCCAACCGAAAGAACACAAAAAACAAAACCATTATGGAACAAATTGGCGTTGAGTCTGCATTGCAGCTGCTTCTTCCTCTTAATCTTATCTCCACCGACCAACTTTAGAAAATTCAATCAAGTCTTTATTTTTGTGAATTTGCAGTTTTTGCTGAGATTGTTGTTCGCGCCACAACCATTGCTGCGTGCACTTTATTATTATTTATTTCCATTGTTTTTCTCTCAACCGCCATTTTTCCTGCGCTGCCGGTTGCTACAACTGTTTACCTGTCGTTACTATTTTGCGGCGAAGTAGTTGACCTCATTTCCTTCGGCTGCCACTTGGCTGTTGGCGCGTCGCCGGTGCTGGTACTGCTTTTGTGCCGTTAACCAGCCAGGCACCCAGCCAGCTCCACGCGGCAACAAAAAGCATGGCAAGCAAACAGCTGTGGTTGCACAGATGCCCTGGCGTTGCAAGCGGATTTCGTTGCCACAGGCCGTCATACATAAACATAAATAATGCAAACCCGCAGCGTCGCAATGCTTTACTGCGAGCCGCTGCCGGGTCCCTCCCACCCACCGCCATTTGACATCGTTGCGGGCCGTGTCACGTTGTTGCAGAAGTTACCAGACAACTTTTACTGAACTGCAGCCAATTTTTTATTGCAATTTTAGTTTTATTCTTTTTTGTTTTTTTTTGGTTGTTAGTTTTATGTTGCTCACAACAACTTCGTGGAATTTTCGTTTCACTGTTGCAAATTTTGTTATTTTTTTACTCTACACATATTCGATCGGCCACACCACGTGGTGTCTGTCTCACATACTAATGAATTCAAATTTTGTTGCCATGGATATTGATTTTCATGGAAGTGTATTTTCGTCTTCACTCTTATTTAAAGAAAAGTGAAATTTGTTGTTGAGAAAATACATTTTCCACATTCAGTAATTCTTCGTGCCTAAGCAACAACAAATTCGTCAGATCTTGTGGCTGTATTGTATTATTGTAACACAATGCTCATCTTCGCAGCAAGGGCTTTTTTTAAATTGTACTATTAAAAGTTTAAAAAGCTATTTTTTTATTTTCTTACAAATACGTTTCTATTTAGACAGCCCTTCTCATTATCTTTGCTGGGTTGCATTTTTTTTTAAATTTAAAGGAGTGATTTCGAAAAATAATTTTATCAGACCAGTTGCGTGAAATCTTTTGCAACTTGGTTTAATGGATTGTATTGCAGTATTTATGTTATAATTCCATTAATAAATAACTCAGGAAAACAAATTTTTACTATCTATTTAATTTTAATTCAGATTTTTAAATTTTACATTTTCAAAAACAAAAAGAAACGTTAACTTCGGCTGCACCGAAGCTATAACAACCTTCAAAGTGTATTTCTTAAAGCAAAAGAGTATAAAATTATCTGCTATCCTTGATTTGAACGGGTAGTGTATGCAGCTGTATATGCTTAGTGATCTGATCTGAACATTTTGTCGGCTATTACCGTTGTCTTAGACAATAACCAAAGAAGAATTTGTGGAGTTATCTCGTCAATTTAAAATTTGTCCGTACAAGCACTTGATTCCGATCGTTGAGTTTGTGGTCCGATATCGGCCGGTTCCAAACAAATGAAGCATTTATTGGAGAGAAAGTGGATGTGTGCGAAATTTCAGATCTGTATCTCAAAAACTCAGAACAGTCGTCTATACAACAGACTACCAGTTTATCGTTTCAGCTCGTCATGCTGATAATTATGTATATATTTATAGACGCTCCGCGGTTTCCTTCTTAACGAATATATTTGTTGTCTCATTGTTTAAATCATTTTCAAAAATATTTTCCAAAAATTTTCTTAAATTTATTTTCCATTCCTTTACCCTTACTACAATTTCTTAATACAATTGTATTTTTTCGTGATTTCGGAGTAACATTTTTACAAATTATGAAGAGCCATGCAAGCTCGTTAGTTTTGGTATGACATTTTGTTCATTTCTTACATCAGAGATCGACTTATTCTGTTAATCGTTAATTGCTGTTAGAAAATTCTTTAGTTCTGAGTATAGATAGAAAAATGAGCTTGCTATTGCATCCCAGCGTTGATAGTTCATTTGCTGGACTTCTTTAAGAACTAATGCACTTATTTATTGAAGAGTTTTAGCAACCTCAAAGTACTGAAAAAATATTAATTAATTTTTTTTTTTAAATTTTGGGTATAAGAATAAAAACAAACAAGTCACAAAATTTGGCTCAAATAATCTAAGAGGCCAAAGATTTTTCGAAAGCTGCTTACTTATCACTTTAAAACAAACAAAATTATTCAACTAAAAAACTTTTTTTCTTCATTTATTAAATATAACTCGTAACTAGTAGTACTGTATTAAATTGTCAATTATATGATATATTCATTATTTCATTAAAAACATAGAGTTATAAAACGAAATGTTCAGGAACACTGTTAAATAACAAAAATTCCCAAAATCTATCAGCTTTTGGTTGCGCAAATTGTCAATTCATTATTACTTGATTAGAAATAACCATTTAAAATTACGCTTCCCACAAAGATTGGTGTTCCATTTTCATCATTTTAATAATCCCTCACCCAACACTTCAATACAATAAAAAAAAAAGAACTGAAAAACAATATATTATTTCAATTCCATTATGAAGCCTTTTGCTGCTGTTTGAACCTATTAATTCCTGTGCACACCTTTATTTCAATACAACAGACGCCAAGCAATAATGCACTCTGTTACATTATTTCGTTAAACTTATGTAATATGTGTGTTATTATACATACATATATCTGTATGTGTAACATTTATGTGTATGTGCATGCCAAAAAATACATTTACAATTAATGTCTATATAAAAGACCTGCTGTGTGTGACAAACGTATTACCAAAGAATTAACATTTGTATTTATATACAAGTACATATGTATATGCATGTATTGTATGTTACTATGTAATGTAGAATAAATGTGACTCAAAGCAAAAATGATAAACAAGAGACTGTGGAAAATGTGAATGGTTTCAGTTGAGAATTCTAATGGAAATATAGCTTCCTATGTGAATAAAAATGCAACAATGTGTTGATACAAGCAAAATATGTATGTGCTTGTGTAAGCGTAGACATTTAGGCAATTTTCTTGACACTGAACTTTTATTTATTTTCTATTAACTCAGCAAATATGTATGTTGTTGTGTCAATTTAATTTATGCTCGTTTTTTTACAAATATTTTATATTTCTTTCAGTGCAGCTGCTTGTCTTCTACAAAAATTGCAATAAAATACATGTTCATGTATGCGTTAAAATACATAAATATATGAAGTGTTCGTTTGTGAAGCTTAATCAAAATAAATATTCAAATCTCGTTATATAATTAACAACTGTCGCGAATGTCTCTTTTATAAATATACCTATATACAAATGTGGATGCAATAAAGTAAATAATTATAAATAATGAAGTGTGCTTAAAACTACAATCAAACTCACTACAACAACACATGCATCTTGAATTAAATGGAATAAGTCTGCTACAACTGCAATTATATATTTCTTGACTGGTAAGTAGATATTAAAAGTTAATATTCGCGATAAAATTAAAATATATGAATATGTTTGTATGTGTTTACCACATTGCCCCTAGAAATGAATTTGCAAAAATTATATATGTATATATGTGTAAACAGAAAGCAGTGTACGATAATTTGTTTAAATTCTCGATGCTTTTATGGCTCGATGCTTTCTGTTCTTAGTAAATAGTGAGCTCAGAATATACTCGTTTTGCTACTAGATTGCGTAAGTATGATCCATACTAGTGCATGACGTTATAAAATGCATAAGAATAAAGACGAGATTTTATTATTTATTTCCCAACAAAAACGTTACTCATAAAGTTACAGCTTCCGAGTGAGGCCTGTTTAAAAAAAAAAAGTATTGTTCAATTTTATTTTAAAAATTAATTATATTAAAAAACTAAATACTTTTTAAGATAATCCCGAAATTCCGGGATTTGACAGTTTCAGAAATTTTTTGGCATCGAACTTAAATGGTATTTTTACAATGTTTAATTAATTCTAATTTTCTGGGGTTTAAATAATTTAAAAATCTCATTTATCCAATTCCGGTAATATCAGAATTTCGGAATTTTATAGGGACAGATTCGGGATAGTGCATGTCATAATAATAAGCTTAAACGCTTTTAATTATATTGCATTAAAATACTTTTAATAATTCAGACGCTCAGTTCGGGCCAAGTATGAACATTCCGTAATTTCGGTATTAAAAAATGACAGCTTCGGGAAACCAAAAATTTTTGTGCCAACATATGAATTATACTCGTAGTTTTATCTACTATAATGTTTGGATGATTAACGTTATTGTATAAAGTATGAAGCCTTTATTTCAAAGTTTAATTATGGAGCTATAGAGCGTGACACAACTTTTAACACCCCAAGAGTAATTTAAGTTATATACATAACTCCCACTTAACATAGATGCGGGAAGAGTAGAATAAACTACAAAATACTGTTGCTGTCTTTATAAGAATTTTATTACAAAATTTAGAATTCGAACAATTGGATTTATTGTTTGCTTCTTCTTCATTTTTATATATATGCTAATTTCTCTCAACTTGAAAGTTTTTAAGTAACTTTAACTTCCATTTATTTTCTGTAATGTAAATGTAATGCAAGTAATGAAATCTTTAAATATAACTTAAAGACATCATTATATTATATTTGTAATAGCTATTAATTTGTTTACTTTAACTGAAAAACTAATAGTATTATATATAAACAGGAGAAACCTAAACGTAGGCAACAAATGATGTCAATATTAATAGTCCAGCGAAGTCCAGCCAAATGCGTTTAATTTATAATTTAAAATTTACTGAATTTAATGGCAGACAATTTGGGAAGATAGTGTCAAGACTTGACGCTAAGAGAAGCGTGTGGGAATAAATTACTATAAAATACAATAATTCAATGTTGCTTATAATACCGCTCAGCTGATGATAAATTCATTAATTCCAAAACTTGCAAAGAAAACCGAAGTTAATTAACTGCACATAATAAAACAAAAAATAATTATGAAAAAATAGAAGTTGCAAGCGAATAGCTGGAAAAATAATATCATAATATGCCTCATAAACAGCGCGCACATCACGTCACAACTGCACCGCTGCCTTTAACGCTTATTTCTTCCACTCAATCAAGGCGATAGTCAGAGGGTGTTTATAACGCTTGCCAAAAATGTTCATCCAAATCGCGTCAATTGCGAATTTTGCATATCTTGATTGCTTTTTAATTTACTTTTTGTTTTTTGATTTCTCTTAAATAAAAATATCCTTAAGTAGCCAGATTAAAAAATAGATATCACAAAATTGGAAATTAAAAATTTTTTTTTTGATACTAATGTTAATGATGACTTATATTGGCCTTCAAAATTTCGTGTATGCAATATTTTATCAAGCAACAAATTTATTTAAATTGAGAAAATTTGACAAAATCCAAATTAGTTATTGTTGTTGACCAACATTAGCGGGCGTTCAAATTATATTCACTAACTTGTTTTCTGCGCCACAAACAAGCTAGTTCACAAGCGGCTGCTGAGCCAAGTGCTTACGATCGCAAGCTGTGCGAAGATGAGCAATATGGTGACTGGTTTGAGTTTTGAGTATTTTTTGTATTCTTTTTATACCTGTGTTATTTTTATTTTTTTGTTGTTGTTGTATTTTTTTTAATATATTTTATTCGAAATTAATTTAAATTTGTCTAATGGCGCCTTTTCAATCGTTAAATGCTTTAATAGACTCTATTAAGCGTTAAACTGTGCCACTTGGCTATGGTTTAGCCCACAAGATATTACTCAGACATATGTTTATGTATCAATAAAGGCCTCTTTGAGACTTACACCAGTTTTAAGTACAATGAGGACTATTTTCAACGCACTAATCTTTCTATTCAGAGGTGTTCAGTGTAGAAGTTGGTGGACTTGGTTGGTTAACATAGCTTGGCTGAGCTGAACACAGCTGTTTTTAAGAAGGAGAGCACCACCTTCGTAAGTAATTTTTAAGACAAATCAAAAATTTGGAATATAAAAATTAAGATATAATTCTCAAAACTTCACTTTAATTTTTATCAAAATTTTGATAGCTCATTTGTAGCTTTGGGCTCCGCCGCTAACCAATTGCAACTCACTCATCGGTGGCGTCGGCGGCGGTAAAGATGACTGATACAACATCACTAGATTATAGAATTGCATAAAACCCTTCAAAAGTGAAATTAAAAATTTTTGGTTGTTTATTTTTTTTTTTGCCTTTCTGTTGTGTTTGTTATCATTTGCTCTTTTACTAACTTTCAGCTTTCGACGATTTCTGGTTTGCATGTTCAGTGCAGCCTTACTGGGTCTAGCGGTTGGTGTGACGGTCAGTCAGTCATTATGAGGAATAACCGGTCACTCCAAATTCATTGCTTATCATTACTGTTGATCTTTTTCATAATTACACATGAACATATAGTGTATGTGTTACTGTGTGTGTGTACTTGAATGAAAACTTGTTGGCTTTGTCAAAAGTTTATATTTATTATTTTGATTTTTTACCACACATTAAGTGCTTTCAGTTGCTTGATTTTGTTACTTTCAATTCATTTTATATTTTAAATTTTTTATTCATGTTTTCAAAATAATTTTTCAACCAGACTTCTTAAAACAAATGGTTAGCTCTACTGCTTATCTCCAAAACTTCTGTTTGGGTTAAGACTGACTGTATTTGTATAGAAAGTTATATGTTACCTTAAAAGTAAAAAATAGCTAAGTATATAAAAACGCGAAGTCTAGTTAACTGTGAAGGTTTAAAAATAAGAGCAAATACTGGTAGATAGAAAAAGATATAAAAATTTAAAACTTAAAAAGGAAATGTAAAAATTAAAAAGAGAAATCTCGAAATTAAAATAAAAAAATTTTATATTGTATAAATTATTAAATAACACAAAAAAAAATCTCTAAAAATATGAAGGAGTACAAACTAACTATTTTTTCAACACATTAAAATTTGGTTTTACCTAGATTAGTCGATAGTAAGCAACATAAGCTGAAAGGATTCGTTAATTATATACATATGTTAAATTATACAAAAAATTATGAAAAAATATTTTCTCACGTTTTTTATGTATATCCTTTGCTTGTGAACTCATGCAAATCCTTCGCCGAAACTTTATCAAGTTAACATCTCTATTCTTCAACTTAAACAGCGCAAGTTCGTGTCATAAGTCTTTCATGTTATCCCAATACTCGCGTGACTCATCTCAATAACGTATTGCATAAAATACGCTCGTTACCAGGCAGTAGAACATATATATTTATACATTATATTAATTTTATCTTGAGTGATTAGCAAAAGTTGCCTTTGCATTAATTTATGACCGAACAACTGGCGTTTCGCTGCTTTCGACAGCTGCCCGTGTGCAGTGTTCTCCGCTTCGTCAGTCGGTAGACAGCTTATACACAGTTAATAGAAACAAATTATAAACAATTAAAAAGCTGAATGTTTGAGTACGCTGTTCATATTTCGCAGAACTTCTCAAAAATAAGATATTGTAATTAAGCTTGCAAAGAGCGCGCCAATCAATATTTTACAGCTAATTATTAAAATCTTAGAACCACATTCAAGGTTAACGAGAGAAAAAAATATAATAAAGTGTATAACAGATTAACTAAATGATTCTAAGTGCGAATAGTAGTGTATTATGTGTTGAAATATCGAAAATTAAGGGTCGGGGAAGAATTACAGAAAATTTCTACAATAAAGAGAAATTTTATAAGAAACACTACAAAGCTTAAAAACTATTCCTAAGAAACTTTCGTTCTTTTTTCTTTTAGACAGCCAAAATCATGTGTTATAAATGTATTGTAAATTGTTATGTTATATTTTTAAAAAATTGGTCAACTTCGCGAAAACTTATTAAAGGAATTATTATCGTCGTTTGTTTTTATTGACCACACAATGTAAAATTTATTAAAATTTTCAATATCAAACTCTGTTAAAAAATCTTAAATTAATAGTAGTTATACTATTAGATTGCCAATATGTAATGAAATTGTAATATTGAATTTTTTATAATATTAATAATGATGGCAACTCGTCCATAAAACCATGTAAAATTTAATTTGCAGAAGAGTTTGCTCATATTTACTGATATTTAATATAAAGTTTAAAACTTACTTGAATTAAAATTCAAATTGTAATCCTAATGAATCTTATATAGTGTGTTATAATTTGTTTCAAATAACATTATTATTCAATATTTATATATTAAAATTTGTAAATAAAAGTGTGTTTCTACATATGTTTCAAGTGATAAAACACTAGTTGAGGAAATAATTATTAAATACTGATTTACTATACCATAATATATTATTTTGTCTATTATATCAGTTTTATAGAATTGAGATTTTGAATAAATGGTAATCCTATTGAAAAAATATTTTGAGCTCTTAGCGTCCTCAAAAAACTACATAAATAAATTTTATAATTGAGCAACAACAGCAAAATATCTCGAAA